CACATAGAAAATGCTTTGTTCCTACTTGTAAGAATGATTCCATAAATAGCCCTGACAAAATCTTTGTTCGTATCAGAGAAGACTTACGAAAGAAGTGGTGTATGGAAGCAAATGCGGAATATTTCAATGTACAATTATTGTATTGCTGTGAAGATCACTTTGATGTGAGTATATTTATGACATATATGATTTTAACAATTAAAATAACATAAGTAAATAACAGATAAAGCATTCGCGTGATTGTGCTAAATACTTAACATTTCCTATCACTTGCAGCCAGTAGCAGATTTGAAAAACTATTTCAAGTACAAATTAATGAATCAAGAGCCTATTTTAAAGCCTACGGCTGTATTGAAGAATGTTGCCGCCTTTCCACAGGAACAGGAGGTGCGTACAATCTCGTAACTATTATTTTTCAACTATATAAACATATCTTACTGTAAGTACTTTTAATTATTTTTGTTTACCATTTTTAGATTCCAACTACGTCACAAGACAGTCCCGAACTATTGAAAATGTTATCAATGGTCCAACCAGGCCCATCTTCACGGAAAATAAGAAAACTTGATAATGTCATGCCCAGTACAAGTTCTGCTACTACACTACCAATTAAGGTACCTACCTACCTATTATATTTAAGGCTTTCTATTTTTACCCAACTGCTTCATGCAAAGGAAGGTAATATGTATATAATACACTTACTACTAATGCTAAACTCAATGAAACAAGCAAGTGAAATCGTGGGCAGTAACTAGTCCATGAATAAAATGTATTCAGTAAATTTAATTCATATTGCAGTTAAATACTATTATGAGCCCTTGAAAACAGTTTTTTATTGGTAACCAAAGGCTTAAGCAATATAAGGAGTTTTTTGGTAGTATTTTCAGACATTGGGTTACATTTTCGAAATTTTCACACTGTTTCCCATTTATTTTATTTTATTAAATATAGCTTATGTTCATCATCAATAATGTAGGATTCCAACGGTAAAAGAATTTTTCAAAACGGCCTGGTAGTTACGGAGGAGATTGAATTCTAACAAACAAATAAACAAACTGAAAATCAAATGTTTCCTCTTTATACTGTAGATGTAGATTATTCAAACTACATATGCAAATATATTTTTTTTAAAAAACCATGTAAGGCTGTGTACCTATTGCACAACTATTAATTTATGACCTCATGCAAACAATTTTAGTAAACATTATTTTATTTAAACAGGTACATGTAGCAACGCAGTGTAAAGTGAAAATGGTGGATTCAAGCACAAACTTAAGGCCTAGAAAACGAAAGGGGCCTCAGGGGGCAACTTCATTTGAAGTACATTCTTCACAGGAATTTTCTTCAGCAACAACTCCCTCCCTGTTTGGTTATACATCAGAAACTGAAGAAACCACATCAGAAAAGCCTAAACCTAAGATGCAAATGAGAAATAATGTTTTAGAAATTATTTTTAAAAAACCCAAGATGTATTTAGGATTACCTCTACAATATTTGTGGTTTA